TGTTGGAGCTATTTCTCCAGGGAGCAGGAGGCAGGAAAAAGCATGAGATGGATTCAGTAGCTCAGTGTTTTAAGGCATTCACTTTGGATGTGACAGGTGAGACTGATGTGACATGTCAGATAAAACAGCCTTTGTTCCCTATTGGACAGTGAGGCCTTGACAGCTTGTTCCCCATGTACAATATGAAGTATAGCACTTTCAAAAATGGAACTTAGTTTCTTAAGTCACATAGGAATAAATCCATAAAGAAACCTGGCTGCTTTGCCTCAGCAGCAGAATTCACAGCCCTGAGTTCAGTGCCTAGGAGTTTTGTACCCATGGTGCTCCATCTCTGGCCTCCAGACTCATGTCATGGCTCTGGAAATTTGGCAGTGGGGAGTTGTGGCAATTAATACTCCCACTGCTCCCCCACTGCCAAATTTCCAAGCCCTGTGGGCCAGATGATCTGGCCATGAGTACCAAGCAGGGGCACAGTGTGGTAAGGGAGGCCTGATCCAGTGAGTAGGGCTGAGTCCTGATCTGGCACATGGAGCTGGGGTTGTATATGTCATGATTTAGCATTATTATTTGGGATTTAACCTTCATTCAGCCTGTGGACATACCCTGCACCATTCGTGCAGCCTTTAGGGCTGAAAGATTGTTCACAAGTGCTCTATACAGCTTTAAGTTACTCTCTAAGGTACTACTCTGCCCTGCCTTCTACCTGATAGCAGACTAACATGGCCAATTACCTCTCTCTACTCATGGATAGCACCGCTCTCAGCCAAATGAAACGGGCTGCAATCGATTTGACAAGTTAGCCTTTAAGGCTCTTCCCTGTTCTACCTCTTGTCTATACATGTATGGGAATAGTTAGGCATCAATCAAAGCCAACACACTGAGCAAATTGTCTCCTAAGGTAGTCCATATGAAATGCTAACATAAGCATCCCTTAAAGTCCTCAGAGAGGAGCAGGGTTAGGCACCTTACCCTGTAAGGAATGCTTTTATACCCCTGTTTCACATATGATAAGTTAGGATGTTTTTGGTATTTCAGACTTGGTAACCCTTGTGCAAGAGGGTTTTTTGTGAAGTTTTTAAGACTAGGTTAATATTTGTCTGGGATGGTTTAGATGGGGACAATCCTGCCTCTTGAGCAGGGGGTTAGACCTCCTGAGGTGCTTTCCAGCCCTGCTTTCGTACAATTTTGGTTGGGATTCATGATGGTAAAAGCTCTGCTGGAGTACCTATGCTTTTCCTTAAAAAAAAAGAAAGGGCAAGCAGGGATTCTTTCAAAACATGGGTAAAGGAGATGCAGGGGAGCTTGTGCTTCATTGTATCCAGTAGCTCAGCAGTTAGGGTTCACCCACTGGAGATCCAGGTTTAATTTTCTCCTCAGCCTATATGGTTCAAACCCACATCTGTCCACTCACAGGAGAATGCTCTATCCACCAGGCTATTGGCTACTCTAGGAGATGGATAGAGGACATGTCCATCAGTCTGCTTTGTTGAAACCGTTTGCAAATGGATAAATTACTCGAATAGCCATTGGAGCATGGACTGAAACCCAGGTCTTGCCTTCTCAGATAAGTGACCTAATTACTGGGTTATACCACCAAACATGCCCATACATTCTCTTTGGTTTTATGCACAGTGGAACTGCTTCAGCCTGCAGGGAAGACTGACAGCCATTCCACATGGCCTTGTTTAGCCCCTACAAAAGTCTATAGTCTGACAGTTCAGGCAATCTTCTGGGAGTTTGCATCCCCTCAAACAGAGGTGGGGATTGCAACCTGTATCTCCTACACTCTGAGTAATCATTAAGCTGTTATACTCATGGAGAGAGGTATCACCTCAGCCTCTTCTTTTTTGAGTGAAAGTTCATCTGCTGAGTATGGTCCAATGCCTACTAGCAAGATAAGCAATGACGGCCTGGCTTGTTAATTCTGATGGGCTTCTGCATGAACTAGGTGACTAGCTACTCGGCAAGATGAAGACTGAGGCACTTCTGGGTACCTGCAGATTTGACTGGTGAAAACTGAGGTGCCCAAGAATTTTAGGCATCTCCAATGTTAAGCAGGGATTTGGGAGAATCCCAGTTTTGAAGGTAGGTCCCTAAAATGGATATAAAGCAGGGCTTTAAACTAAGTTCAATGGGGGATGGGGAGGCAGATGGAGAGAGTCTAGAAGCTACAAACTGTAAGACAGGCAGCAGTATATCCCAAGTAAGTAGTAAGGGGCCTTTTGGGCATCAGAATGGGGTAGGGGGCACCAAAGGCACCATCAGGAGGGCTCAAGTGCCTCTATGCTAATGCTAGCAGCATGGAGAACAGCAGGAAGAACTCACACTTCTGCTTGCAAATAATGACTTTGATTTAGTGGAGCTAACAGAAACCTGGTGGGACCCTACCCATGACTGGGTGGTACACATTGAGGGCTACAGGTTGTACAGAAGGGACAGAGTAGGGAGGAAAGGGGGTGGGGTGGCTGTCTATATAAAGGAGCATTATACATCTACCCTAATCAAAATGGGATCAGAGGAGGAGAAAGTTGAGGCATTGTGGGTTAGGATACATGGAGGTCATGGGGTCTGGACTTGGTGATGGGGGTGTGCTACAGACCACTGTAACAAGAAGAAGAGCTAGACTTGGAATTCTTGAGGCAGCTCTCAGAGGCCGTACAGTCTAGGGACGTGGTTGTCATGGGGGACCTAAACTATCCTGACATCTGCCAGGAGCAGCAGTCAGCCAAATCCAACCCTGCACTTAGAGGCAGTTAGAAAGGCCAAAGCAACTACAGAGCTGAGGCTGGCAACACAAATCAAAGACAACAAAAAGTCTTTTTTTAGGTATGTAGAGAGTAAAAGGAAGGTGCAAGGCAGCATAGGACCCCTACTGAACAAGGAGGAGCAATTAGTGACAGATGGGGGGACAAGGCTGAGCTCTTCAATGAGTTTTTTGCCTCAGTGTTCCTGAACAAGGCTCAAGAGAAGTCTCCTAATGGGTTCTTAGCTGGGCATCGGAGGGACACCAGCCCACCAACTGTCAACACTGACTTGGTGCAGAGTCACTTGGATGGACTGGATGTGTTCAAGTCAGCAGGCCTGGGTGAGCCGTGTCCAAGGGTACTGAAGGAATCGGCCGGTGTCATAGCAGAACCATTGGCACGGCTGTCTGAGTGCTCGTGGTGCTCGGGTCAGGTCCCGGAGGACTGGAAAAGGGCCAATGTGGTCCCTGTTTTCAAGAAGGGGAGGAAGGAGGATCCAAGTAATTATAAGCCAGTCAGTCTCACCTCCATCCTTGGAAAGGTCTTTGAAAAGATTATGAAGGATCATATTTGTGGGAGTCCAGTGGGAAAAATAATGAAGCAGGGAAACCAGCATGGATTCATAGCAGGTAGATCATGCCTGACCAATCTGGTTTTGTTTTATGACAGGGTCACAAAATGCTTAGATGTAGGAGTAGAGGTGGATGTCATTTTCTTGGACTTTAGCAAGGCCTTCAATACAGTATCTCATCCCATTCTCATAAATAAATTAAGGGGCTGTGACATAGATGTTTACACGGTCTGGTGGGTGGCAAATTGGCTTAGCGGTTGCACCTGGAGAGCGGTAGTAGATGGGTCGGTATTGATTTGGAAGGGAGTGGGTAGTGGGCTCCTGCAGGGTTCGGTCCTTGGACCTGTACTCTTCAATACCTTCATCAGTGACTCGGATGTGGGTGTGAAGTGCACTCTGTCCAAGTTTGTGGATGATACGAAATTGTGGGGTGAAGTGCACAATCTGGAGGGTAGGAAACGCTTACAGGCAGACCTGGACAGGTTAGAAAAATAGGCAGTACACAATAGGATGCAGTACAACAATGACAATGCAGAGTGCTTGCACCTAGGGTGCAAAAATATCCAGCACACTTACTGGCTGGGAAGTGACCCAGCAGCACAGAAGTGGAAAGGGATCTCGGAGCTATAGCGAACTCCAGGATGAACATGAGTTGTCAGTGTGACGAAATCATCAGCGAAGCTAACTGCACTTTATCATGCATCAGCAGATGCATGACAAATAGATCCGAGAAGATGATACTTCCCCTCTATGCAGCATTGGTCAGACCGCAGTTGGAGTACTGTGTCCAGTTTTGGGCTCCGTACTTCAAGAAGGATGTTGATGGACTCGAGAGGGTCCAGAGGAGGGCCACTCATATGGTTAGGGGCTTACAGGACAAACCCTATGAGGAGAGACTGAGGGACCTGGACCCCTTCAGCCTCTGCAAGAGAAGGTTGAGAGGTGATCTTGTGATCGCTTACAAATTCATTAGGGGAAGGCAGCAAGGGATTGGAGATGCTCTGTTCACCAGGGCACCTCTTAGGATAACAAGGAACAATGGTTACAAACTGATAGAGATCAGATTTAGGCTAGACACCAGGAAAAACTTCACAGTAAGAGTGGCCAAATTTGGAATGGGCTCCCAAGGGAGGTGGTGCTCTCCCCTACCTTGGGGGTGTTTAAGAGAAGTCTGGATAGGCATCTGGCTGGGGTCATCTGACCCCAGCACTCTTTCCTGCCTAGGCAGGGGGTTGGACTCAATGATCTGTTGAGGTCCCTTCTGACCCTAGCGTCTATTAATCTATGACTCAGATGCCCAAGCTCTTTTGCAGACTGCCATTAGGCATGTCTGAGAATTCTGCCAATTGTGCCTGTGAAGAGATGCAGTAGCTCCTAAATAAGTGGACTGAATGTCAGTGGTGCTGTTCTTACTGCATCACCTTTTGGATATTCAAATGCTACCATCTCCAGAACTTCTGAAAACTGGGTTACTTGTTTAGAGGCTTAAATATGAATTTAGGAGCCTGAAATTAGGTATGCGTGTTTGTAAGCTGTACTATAAATAAATAACAAATTCAGAAAAAGAAAATGTGGTCAGCTAAATATATCTGCACTATATTTGCATATTGGGGTTTATCATCATCAGAATCCTATTTAATGTGCATACTACATCTTGATAACACACAAGTAGACTATGTGTTATCTAGAAATCCAGTCTTTATTGAAGTCCTAGTCATCCAGTCTTCATTAAGACAATGGATATATTTCCTCATAAGGCAGAGGTGGGAAGTTGTCACAGATTTCTTCTAGCAACTCTTCTGGCTCGTTAGGATACTTATCTGATCTGCAAGTGAAAAAAAAAAAGAGGTGACATGTTATACAAAAAACACACTCATACCCATTGGCATAACAAGCAGAGATGGTGCCTAGGGCAAATCCTGCAAGGGGACACAGATTGTGAGAGCAGGAGGGGGTGCATGTGGGGTTGTACGATTTTGAGGGTGAGAAGGATGTGTGGTTCCGAGAGTAGGTGCGGGGGAGCACAGCAGTCTTACCCATGCCAGGAGCTCCTAAGTAGTCTACAACATAACTCCTGCTGCCATGGCTGCATGCTCCACCTACCCTGGCTGTTGCTCTTAAAGCAGCAGCAGCCATGGACTGTTTTGGTGTTCCCAGCAGGGGTATGCTGTTGGAGCATGGACTCTGCAGGAGTGGAGAGCAGGTGCCCCTCTTGCCCACTCCTAGTAATGCTACTGCTCATCCCTAGCTGCCTGTTCCTGACAGCAGTAGGTGTTTTGCTGAAGAAAGTGTAGGATGAGGTCTAATGCTACTGTGATGATTTTTTGACTTTTCTAGCAAAAATGCCAAGATGTTAATCTTCATACTAGCTTTGTCTATCACATGTGTTGGCAAATATTATTAGTTAACCAGGATCTCCACACGTGACCTTCAACAAAACTTTAACAAGCTTATCCTGTCTTCTGAAGGAATCAATTTTGAACACCACCTACAGTTGTTTTTAAAGGAAAAAATACAACAGATAGATATGAAATGATTTCCCCTTGTCTTTCATTATGGCAACTTTGCACTACTCTTATAACATCCAAATCAATGATTCAATCAATACCAATAAGGGAAATGAGAATAAGGACTGGAAGTTTGCACACAGTGGCATTGGAAATCCATTGTCACTAAGGAGAACATCTGCTACAGAACAGATGCTTTCATTATCACAGGAAGGTTGTTTCTGAATTGGCTGTGCTACTATGATCATATTACCATTACAATGAAACTGCTTTAACAAAGAAAATGACTTACTATCTCTAGGTGAATGATTGTACAGCCAGTAAGGGAGAGGACTGGAGAGAAGAAAATAAGCCCCATACACAACAGGGAGGAGTTTGCACAATGACAAGGTCTGTAAAACCTAAAAATACCATATAGAAACTGAATATTTACAATCTTCAACATTATTTTAAAATATCAGTTGTGGCTCCTGTTGCCTTTATAAAGTAAATCATAGGAATTTTCTCAAGAAGCACCATAGCATTTATACACATTATAATAATGCTTTGTAATGTGTTATACACACCAAATAACAGCTTTGCAATTTCATAGCACTGTATATAGACCAACTAAAAAACACATCAGAAGACATACCTCTGATCCATTGTGTCACCTGCTAGATAGGCAGGATAGTTCTCATCTTCAGTAAAAGCTGGATTTTCCAGAGGGTACACAGTATAGTACTGGGGAGGGCTTGAAGTAGGAATTGTTGATTCAATTGAAGAAGAAACACTACAACAGCCAAGCACTGGGTGCAGATGGGCTGGATTCATAGTGGTTCCCTCCTGGGCTGAATAAGGAGGAGGGATGTACTGTACCACTGTAGCACCATGAAAAGTGATAGGTTGGTTAATTCCAGTAAAAACAAAGGACTGTCGACTTGGAACCTGGTCCACATCTGATGCACTTTCATCACTTTGTTTGCACGATTTACATGTAAGCATTTTAAATTTGCACACAGCAATTAGAATAAAAGTCACGCTAACAGAAAGCAGAATCGGCCCTAATAACTGAGTCCACTCCAGGTGAGTAATGCCTTCATATCTGATCCAACCCATCACTGTGAAAGTGATCCCCACCAATCCCAGAAACACACCTGAAAAGAACAAAGTAGCACCAGCTTTGTCATCATCTGACACCAGGACATCAGATCTGCTAGGTTGATAAGGTGTGACAGAAAATACATTGAGAGAAAAATCCTCTACATTATTGCTGTTCTGCTCCATTACAGTATGCCATATCTCTTCTGGCTTGTGTGTGAGAGAGTCTGTAAGAGCCCCTGCATACCGTGCAAAGCCAAAAGGTTCAAGTTAGTTATATAAGAACTTTGTGTGTGTATGGTTAACAGAGCACATCATGTGAAGGACTAAACTTTGCTTAGAGGAATAAAGGTCTGGGAAGTGAAGCCTGAAGTGCTTTACTTAAAATGCCTTGAATTATCTGTTGCAATGTTGCTTGTTTGTGAGATGGCTTTAATATTTCATGGTTATTTGTCCCCCTGCTTATCCTGTTCTTTAATTTTGGCACTCAACCACAGTAGCTCTCAGTGCCAGTGCAGACTGGGACAGACAGAGCTGCAGAGACCATTGCTTAGCCTGGGCTTGCTGCCAGCTGATGTCTCTAACATAATCAACAGCAAACATTTAGTAAATAGCACTGTGATTACTTGGTTATTCTCCTTGGGGCAATCACTTGCACAACCTAGATCTGTAGGAAAACGCCACATTCAGCAGCCCAGTATTTATAGCAAAGCCTGCAACTTCTATCACAGCTCTGGCAGGTGTCCAGAACTTCCTTGATTATAAAAAAAGAAATCATTAAAGCCAAATTTTGGATGTTTTGTCAAAATTAAAGTGAGTGGGTGGGAGAGGATGTAAAATGGGATAGTAGGTGTTGAATAGACCACAGGAAGTTCCAGAAGTTAATAAAATGGTCTCTTTTTATTTAAGCCTTATTAAATTTGAAAAGCTGGGCTAGATTTATGAAGGTGGATTAGTTATGCTATAACTGCTCTATAACTGTTGACATTTTTACAACAGTTCTGCCAAGTTGAAGGAAAACTTTACTTTGACCTACTCCTCAACATTGCCTACTTGGTAGTTGAATTAAAAAAGAAGCCTGCTCTACTTTCCACTGAAACATTAAACTAATTGAAGTAATGACCTTGCCCTATAAGGCAAATCCTATGGTCAAGAGCATCCAGAACATTTATTTCTCTGTTATCACATGGGAACTATTATGTTTGGACTAAATGGATGCAAGAAAAAAAAAATCAGTCCCCACAACTTTTGGCTTTAGACATTTATAGCTAAGAAATATGCCATTTTAGTATAATTTCTCTGACTTCTTTTTAAAACAGTTAAGATAGCCCTTCCAGACATGATAGTGCCAGTTTTAACACTGTGTCTTGGCAAAAAACCGTAATACAGGTTTCTACTGCTTGTCTGCACATACCCAAGCAGTTGAAAGACCAGTTTTTACTCCTCCAGGGCCTATTGTTTTCCCACTAAAGCTAAGGAAAAAACTCCCATTGAACCCAATTTAAGCAGGATCAAGCTCTAAACCAGGATACACTGAACCAAGTCCCACAACTTTTTATGATCAAAGGCCTATTAAAATGGAAGTGAATCTCTCTGGGCTCTGTTATTCAAACTGTCTATTTATCAAACCGCTTTGAAAGAGAGCAACTCTGGTGAGGAAACTTTGACAAAAACTACTTGGTGTAATGCTTCACAAGGAGGAAAAGAATCCTCCAAGTAGTCAACCATATAGTAATGAACATAATTATGCTCCCACACAGGAGTATACACCTTAAATGGTGGAATAAATAATGTTATTTCCTTTTCCAAACAACTTTGTTTTAACAAAGTTAAGACTGATCATCAGGGATCTGGGTTTTTCCATTTGCCATGGGAAAATGTGGTAAAACCAGGATTTTCTCATTTTAAGCAGAAAAACCTGGATTTTCTCATTTTAAGGGGGAAATAAAACATGGGCTTTCTCCTTTAAAAGAGACAAAAGTGGGAAACAGCAGGTTCCCCTTGCAGGCTGGCAGAGGGGCTGAGGGGAGCAGGAGGAGGGCAATGAGCACCATGTACATGTGCACACATACACAAGCACATGGCCACCAGGCAGCCTGGAGAGCAGCCCCCACAGGTAAGTCTGGGGTTGGGGGCGGGAATTGAGACCCCCGTAGTGAGGGAGGAAGGGAGTTGGCCAGGGCTGGTGCAGGGCTGGAGCTGCTGCTGCTGCCCAGCCTGGGTGGTGTGTGGGGCTTGGTGCCTGGGGCCAGAAAGCATGGCTGCAGGGAGTGGGACAGGGCCGTGGGTGGCTTGTCTGAGTGGCAGGAGGGGCTAGCTCCCTGGTGCTGCATGAACTCCCGGTGGGAACATGGGGGGCGCTTTTTGTGTGGGGCAGGAGTGGGCTGCCTGCTGTGGGCTCAGGCTCCCCACCCTGCTGCCGTCCCCACAGGGTCTCCCCAGCCCAGCAGGTGGGACCCAGCATGGCAGCACAAACCAGGGCTGGGCAGGGAAGCTCAATGCTGCTATCGTGAGCACTGTGCTGCCATGGTGAGGTGCCTCTCCACTCCTCCCCCTCCCTGGCAGCAGTGTGAGGCACAACTCTGCCACCACCCCTGCTGCTGCTGGACAGGCAAGGGATGCCTTGCCATAGCAGCCTAGGGCTTACAGTGGTGGCATCAAGCTCGCCCACCCCGCCCTGCCCTGCCCTGCCCTGCACCAGGTTCTACCTGCTGAGCCACAGAGGCCCTGCGGAGAGGGCAGCAGGGCAGGGAGTCCTCATCTGCTCTGGCACCCAGTGGGCTCCACTCCGGCCATGCCACCCGCAAGAGAGGGGGAGTCGGGCTCCACGCTCTGCTTCGCTGCAGCTGCCACCACCTCCCAAGAGCAGCAGCTAGGGCTTGGGCACTGCTGCAGAGGATAGGGGCTGTGGACCCAGGTCTCTAGCCCTGTAGTCCTGGCAGCCGGGGGCTACCTCTGGCAGGGCAGGGAGGCAGGGGGCTGTGGGTGAGGAGTGAGGGGCACCAGAAGGGTTGGAGTTGCTGTGGGTTGGGAGTGAGGGGCACCAGCAGGGCCGGGGGGGCTGCAGGTGGGGAGTGAGGGATCTTGGGGTTTTTAATTGGAGAATTTGTGATTCTTAAACAGAGAAAACCAGGATCCTGCTGATTATTTAAAAAAACAGGACTCCCACAGAACCCTAAACAAGAACTGGCTTGTGTCTACCATAATGTGCACTTTCTCCCTGAATGCTTTGCCAAAATTAGGAAAGTCTTTAGTCTATTGTGGACTCAAACTGCTGTAATGAAAATACCCTGCTCATAATGATCTTTTGCCAGCTTTACCATATCTAGAGATTATGCCATATGTGCCTGCAAATGAATTCTGTTCTTTGGATTTATCAGCAGTCTGGCTTGCCGCGGGGGGGCGGTGTACACACTGAACGTATCTACACGTACAATTAATGTGCTGAAATAAACTCCAGCACAGTTCATACTAGAGTCAGCTGATCCCAGGTGGAGCATCTGAACATGCGCCTGGGACAGCAGCAATTTGAGCTGGGGTGAAGCAGCTCTGGAGTGGCAGAGGGTCCAGGAGGCCAGGCCTGGGCTCTGGGTGGTGGCACTGGGTGGCAGAGGGGCTGTCTGGGGCACAAGGGGTACTAAAATGCAGAGCTAGGCAGCAGGCAGCTCCCACACTTTAGCACCCTTGTGCTTCAGCCAGCCTGCCACCATCTACATGTGTGTTTGATTGCACAGAATTATTGTCCCTGACAGTACTATGTTACAGCAATAAATTTACTGTACCCTAATACTGGTGTACATGTAGACTAATTGGTCAACTCTGCAGTAAGGCACATGTATAGATGCACCTACTTATTTTTAACAACAGGATATGTGAGGGAGCAGGATTGCTTATATAGTCAATTTGTGCTTGACGTATGGAATAACCTGTGACTTTCCAGAGTCAATAAAATGCATTTAATTACAAATTTTCTTCCTATGGGTTATCATTTAGCTTATCAACTTTTTCTACAAATAGTTAACAAAGGTGATACTCACCCCAATGTAAAACCCACACAGCCCATAAGCCCCACTGTAAGGGTTTGTATTGTAACGCAGTTTCACCTCACATGCAGTAAACTGAAAAACTCTGAAGTATATTTCTCCTGCGTAAGGGATTATAGGCTGCAATCATGCCCCTGTTTAGATCTGGTAAACTAAATTGAGTGAGCTCCTGTAATCTCTCATTTTAGGGCAGAATGCAGGGTAGAAATGCACCTTATAGACTAGCTGAACCAGAGATGACTGAGCTTTTTCATTTTAACAGTGTTTAAATAAAGACGATGAATTCTTGCACCTGTGCTTTGAACCCTCTCCAGTTTTCCCCAACATCCTTTTCCAAGCACTGACAACAGAATGAGATACAGGGGCACAATGGTGGCCAGCTTCACCAGTGGTGTATACAGATATAATGTCTCTTTCCTGCTCCTGGATGATATTGCTGTTTATACATCCACAGAGCATGTAACCCTTTCTGGCACAGCATCATGCTGGGAGCTTTTCTGCATTTAGTGATTCCTAAATTCTTTTTCGAGTTACTGCTTTTCAGGATACACAATCCCCCATCCTGGGATCCTGGGCTACATCCTTTGGTCTGTTTCCAATGGGACCCGGCTGGCAGCAGAGCCACTGTGGGTGGCGGGCCTCAGGAGCAGGCAGAGCCACGGCCGGGCCGAGGCAAGACCCGGCAGGCAGCAGAGCCCCAGCGGGTGGCAGCAGCATAGCAGGCCCTGGTGGACAACATAGCCATGGAGGACCCCAGCAGATGGTGGAGCAACGGTAAGTGGCAGGATTGCAGCAGGTGGTGGGGAGCACTGCAGGAATAGGGGGCTGCAGGAAGCAGCAGGGAAGCCTGCAGGAGGGAATGCAGGGAAAGGTGCTGGCAGGCAGAAACACAGAGCCTGTGTAAGTGCCCTGGGACTGGCAGAGACCCAGGGCGGGGTTGTAGAAACACAGAGCCTGGGCATGGGGTCTGCCTAGCTGCATCGTGTGAGGCTCACATGCAGCTTGTTAGAGATGCATGCTGTGGAGCTGGCAGCCTGGCCCTGGCACTCTCAGCACACATCCAGCCACCATACCCACACTGCACCGCACGCATGCACACTGATACTTATACCCCCTTGCTGCCCACACAAAACACACAGTAGGACTGTATTTTAAGCTATTATGCAGCTACCTCTAGATACACTTTTTGTAAACACAGAAATCAGTAGAAA